TTATAGATAGCTGTGAGCTGTCGAATCGGGGCAAGATTCTAGGCCCAGAATCCAGCCAAACACGGCCTGTGCGTCCGCGTTGTTTGAGTTCCTGAACGCAGAGTTCAACCCTGTGTTTCAATGTTCAAGCATGTGAATCCACTTGTGCGTTTTGGACGTCACCAAATGAACTTCTCAATGTTTAAAGCCAATACATAGCTTTAATAAATAGAGAGAAAGACTGATGTTGGCCATCAAGGTGATCAAGGCCGAGAAAAAACAGACGACTCCGTTGGGGAGTCTGTTGGATGAGTACAAACAGATTACAATCGGCAACGATAAAACTGTCAAACGTGATTCTGCGCACAACTCATTCTTTCAAATGGCTCAACATCCCAACCGAGGTCGATGAAACCAGGAGCTGCGCACAACTCATTCATCTAAAATATTTTAATATTCCCACCAAGATTAATGAAGACAGAATCTGCGCGCAGCTCATTATCCCAGTTGAGCTGATCAAGAAAGGAGATAAAGTGGGTCTCTCTGAGGCCACCCTCCTGACCAAACTTGGAGTAGAGCCATTCTCGTATGGACCATCTGATGTAACTTAAGATCAAAATGAGCAACAAGCGTCATGATTATTCTGAAAGAGTCTTTCGATGAAACCGGAGAGAAAGTCTCTGTATAAACAATGCATTCCTTTTGAGTAAAGCTTTTAGCTACAAGACGTGTCTTATACCTCTCCATATTACCATTTGCATCCCGCTTGGTTTTAAAAATCCATTTACAACCAATTGGTTTTGCACATTCTGGCAATGGGACAAGTTTCCAAACCTTATTTTCTTGCATAGACTTGTACTCTTAATTCATGGCATCAATCCACTTTTGAGAGTTAGAACTTTTTATGGCCTAAAGGAAGTTGATTAGATCATCTTCCAATATTCCATTGTTATCCTCATGTTCTTAGAGAAATACAATATAATCATCCGGAATAGCATTTCACCTTTCTCTCATGGATCTCCTTAATGACACTAGTTCTTGAGGTTCTTGAGTTTGTTTCTCTGGAATTTCACCTTTCTCTCATGGATCTCCTTAATGACACTAGTTCTTGAGGTTCTTGAGTTTGTTTCTCTGGAACAGAGAGTTGTTCAACATTGTCATCTTAAGGTTTCGGATTTACTTCTTGAGCAACAACAGGTATAGGAACCTGAATATTATCAAAAGTAACTGTATGGATTGGATCTGAAGCTAATTCCTCCTCAAAAGTAATGTCTCTAACCTTATTTCTCCCCCTAAACTCAACATCCTCAAAGAATGTTGTTTTTCTCATCTCAAAAATATTATTGAGTGGGATCATAAAACTTATAGCCCCTAGAGCATTCAGAATACCTATTAAAGTAGCTGCTAACTGTTTTGGAGTCTAATTACTTTTTATTTGGCCTATAAAACCTTGCCTCAACTGGACATCCCTAAATATGAAAGTGTTTTAACTAGACTTGCGATCAGTCCAAAGCAAATAAGGTGTTTTAGAACTGCTTTACTTGGTACTCTGTTTAGAATGTAAGCTACTGTCTTTAGTACTTCTCCCCAGAGTGACTCTGGTAAAGAAGAATGAGCAATCATACTTCTTATCATATCCTTAAGAGTTTGGTTTTGTCTTTCAGCTATACCATTCATTCTAGGTGAATCTGGCATACTGTACTGTGAGACGATATTGCATTCCTCTATGTATCTAGCAAATGGTCCTAGACGTTGTTCACCTGAGCCATCATATCTTCTCTAGTACTCACCACCACGATCAGATCTAATGGTTTTGATTCTATTATTGAGTTGGTTCTTAACTTCAGCTTTATAGGCTTTGAACATGTCCTGATACTCAGATTTTTCATGAATGAGATATAGGTACCCATAATATGAGTAACCGTCAATGAATGATATAAAATATTATTGACCATTTGTAGGCTGTCTAAAAATCACAATAGATAGTTGACCCCCATCAAGCTCCAACAATGGAAGTTACAATCAGGCGACTTCCTAATCACTGCATCCGCAACTCTACAAGCGCCACAAATACGGCCTCATGTTTGAGATGATTGATCTTGATGGCTGCGACAATAACATGACTAATATTATATTAGTAACTATTAGAGATGCTGATGAGCAGTGTAATGATTTTAGAAATAAAAGGTTGGACTCAGTTGGTGAGTTACTTGATAGAGAGCTGTGGGCAAATATTCGTCTAAAAATCACAATGGACAATTGATCCCCATCAAGTTCCAACAATGAAAGCTACAATCAGATAGCTTTCATGCCAACAAACGAAAGCTGCAAATGGAGGACTTTTCACATAGAGAGAGAAAAGTTATAATACAACGACGCTTCCGACAACTGATGAAAACTCTGTTCAGCAGTCTTCACAATCTACAGTGAAAGTTACAATCTGACGACTTTCACATCCCGTAACAAGCAAAGATCAATGAGCAATAGCCTTTGCGATGTTACAACGGACGAAGTTACAAACCAACAACCTCTCCTAAACGCAGGGTTCACCTCTGCGTTTCCCAAATTCAAAACGCAGACGAACCATGCGTTCTCCAGCAGACATTCAACTCTGCAACGCAGAGTTAAAACACAAAACGTACGAACTGTGCGTTCTTCAGCAAATACTCAACCATGCGCAGAGTTGAGATTCAGCACACAAGCAGCCTGTGCATCTCAAATCTCTAACAGAGATTTAACTCTGCGTCTCAAGCCTTAGACACAGAGTTAAGGTCCAGAACGCCAACTTTGGCGTTTGACTTGTTCAAACACAAGTTGAACGTCCTCACAACCGTTTATCCCACGTTCTGAGGGATTCTCGCCCACTTAGGAGCGGATTTAGGGGTTGGTTACACCCCTAATCCCCTTATAAATAACCAACTTACTCAATTGAATAAAAAAGGGGGGATCAGTTTTCAGCAGCAAAACTGCACAGGGTGGGGAATTGTTCGATCTCAACAGCTTAACCGCACAGAGAAGGCGATTTTTTTTTTAAGATCAAGGAACTGATCAGCACACTAGTACAAAATAGGTCTGTCCAAACGGTTATTGGAACCGTTTGGACAAGTCGAAATAGCCCAAACGGTTTAAACCGCTTGGGCTATTCAATAAACCGTTTGGGCTATTCAAAATTCCCAAACGAAGCTCCCAAATGGTTTAAACCGTTTGTGATACTTTAGCCCAAACTGTTGAAACCGTTTGGGAGTTATGTTACGGATTTTTTGAAAAATTTTGCAATCGCTGACCCGCTCCTTCTCCCCAAAATTTGATTTTCTGACCCGCTCCTTCTCCCCAAAATTTTCATCCAGCAGCGCTAAAAATTTTATCCCCAAATATTTCACTGCACCCCTCTCAAACCAGCCTCCACCTCCCTCATCATTTGAGCAGAGCAGTGAGAAACAAAGAGGAGAATCTCCTGCCGTCCGTTTACCCCCGCGCGTGGATATCGCTCTCTCACCCTTGACCCTTCCCCCCTACTCAATCCCAATCCCTCGTTCTCCTCCAAAGAAAAAGAAAAAGGAAAAATTTCACCCAAATCGATAAAAATCCGAGCTTTTCCATTGGATTCCTACGAAGATGGCGACCCGATTCCTCGCTTCCGCAAGTACTTCAGCCAGCTCCTCAGCCGCGACGCCACCATCCTCTCCTCCCCCGCCAAGGCCCCTGTCAGGAGCCAACGCAGAGGCAGCTGGAATTGAGGTTGGAAGCTGGAATTGAGACTTGTTCATTGAAGAACCATCTGAATTTAAGTAATTCCAGTGACCCTTAGATTTCCTTTCATTTTTCTGTTTGTCCTCAAAGAGTTTGGCCAGGGATACAGCTCCCTTTAAGGAAGTTGGTCTAGCTGCTGAAACATCATATCTCAATTCATCTTTCAAACCCCCTATAAACCTTTCAAGGATGTGTCTCCTAGAGGGTTGATCATCTAACATTCCTAATGCTTGCTCAAATTTGCCCAAGTATTCCCTGACTGTAGAAGTCTATTTCATGGTTGAGAAAGCATCATATGGTCTCGTGAGTTCACTAGGACCAAATCTTGTTAAAATTTCTTCCTTAAAAACAGTCCATTGATAATAATCTTCAATATTCCTAGTGAACCACCTATACCACTGCAAGGCTTCTTCCCTTAGATAGAATGAGCAAACCTTAACCCATTCCTCATTTTTAATATCATAATACTCAAAGATCTGTTCAGTTTGCTCTAACCAAGCTATAATATTCTCAGATCCAGAGAAAGAGGGAAAATCTAAGCGTAAAGATTTCGGTTGAACCAATTTTTGATTGCTAAAGAAAGAGTTTCCTAGAGTTGATGTATTACCTAAGCTATGAGCAGATTGAAACTCTCCACTGAAATCAGGAGTCCTTCGATTCTGTAGCTGATATCCACTGCTGTGATCATTCCTATTGAAGTCACCAGCTCCTCTTGAACTTGAATCCAGAGTCCTGTGATCTTCCCTCGGACCAGAACCAAGAATTCCTTGGTCAGAGTTCTTGGAATTCTTGAAATTCTTGAACTCTTGAATTAGAAACTCCAGCTTCGAAGATAGTTCACCCATCTGTGTTGAAAATTTATGATTGAAAGAATCCTGTTGTCGATTGAAAGAGCTGCTCCTGACAACAGCATCCTCTAATCTAGCGACTCGATCCTCTGGAGTTGGCTCATCAACCTCAACTTCCACCTGATCGTTCAAGAAATCCTCAGCGCCCGCTTCAGTTTCTTGTTGCTCTGATACCAATTGTGAGGATCGAAGACCTCGATTCATTTTTCTAGCCATTGATTTCAACTTTAATTCAGCTTTTGAGAAGAAGAGACAGAGATGAGAGAGAGAGAGACTGTAGAATGAAGAAATTGTATAGAACTGAGAGATTTTTTGTATTATTCAACAACTTGAATATCAATTATTACAGTTGACTATTTATACCATTCTCTTCTTCTAAACAGATTGTGCACGTGCACACGGTTGAATCACTAACAGGAAATATCCGCCGGCAGCCGATCCCTCTCCTACCCTAACTACAACTACAGCAACAGCTCTCCCCCCACTTATCACCACCATCACTCGTCCTCCCACGAGATCAGATTCCCCCACCCTCTCCCTCCCCATCACCACGTCGTCGTCGGCGCCGTCCCCTGCCATCCCAGCTCGTCCTCTTTCTCCTCCACCGCCTCCATCTATTCCACCACATCGCTGGTCTTCACTAATTTGTAGATTCGGGTCGTGCTGCTCCTCCGCCTCCTCCTCCTCCTCCACCGCGCGCCTCCACCGCCTCCTCCTCAGGTCGCCCCCTTACCCCCTGTAAATTAGTATTATCAAATGATTCCGACAGGCTTTTCTGTGCACTGAGATAATTGCTCTGCTAGGTGATTTATTTACATATGCTACTGGTTAACTTTTGCATTTGCGTGAGCGTTTAAGAGAACGCAATTGGGAAATCTTGTTGCAAATTTGGTTACAGAATTAGGTGCAGACCGTGTGCTTACATGTGATCTTCATTCTGGGCAAACAATGGTGTAATTTGATATTTCAGTGGATCATGTATACGGTCAGGTAACTCTCACTTAACCTGTTACAAAAACTATTGTGTATACTAGAAGAGTGCTAACGAATTTTAATTAAATTTTGCATTTGTTTGTTTTTTGTATTTCAAGCTTGTGATTCTTGATTACTTGGCCAGCAAGACCATCTGTACAAACGATTTGGTGTAGTGTCTCCTGATGTTGGAGGTGTTGCGAGGGCTCGTGCTTTTGCGAAAAAGTTATCAGATGCTTCTCTTGCCATTGTGGTTAAGAGGCCTCATGGGCACAAAGTTGCTGAGGTAAAATACATATGAATCACTAAATAAATTTTCATTCTAAAGATATTTTGTTTCTTAATTAACTTATATTGAAGCAAACATCCCCTTTCATACATTTCCTTCTCTTTGAATATTATATCTTGGTTGCATACTAATTTGAAATTAGTGTTAAGTAACATTGAAAATATAAAGCACACATGTTCTACTTTGTACTTACCAAAGTTCTTAAGTTGATATAGCTGATAGGAGAAGTTTCATGTTTGGTTATAGGATATCCTGAATTCTGAATCATATGGGGAGACTGCCAATAGCAAAGTAAGAAAGGAATTTTTCAAAGAAACTCCATGTAGGTAATTTGGAATGTTCAAGCTATAATTTTTGCTTTAAGTGATGAGTATGCACTTTCTATTTTGTTTCATGAAAGGGGTTAATAAATCAATGTCTTATGGCTCTTTTCCCTTATTCTTAATCATTTTTAACTGATATTTCAGGGATTCATACATGTGTCGGTTCTGGTGGGGAAAGGCAAACCCCAGAATGGTACATGGAGCAAGGCATAGAGGTGTGCAGGTCTTGGCATGATTTTGTCATATCTTTTATCACATTATAGCATGCATGCTACTCTTGGATATCTTCTTTCTATTTTTGTGAATTTCTCATATTCTAGAGAGGAAAATTAATTGTACTATACATGAACTATAATATTTATCTCATTGTCAAGCTTGAACTATGTTCAATCAACTGCATTTTACACCTAAAGTTCCTCATTTTCAGGTATTCCATGTAGCAACTGAAACAATATTCAAAATAACCCATGTATGGTAACTTTCAACAATTTTCAGTTATTCTTTCTATTTTCCCCCTTGATTTGCTTGGATTCTGAAGGGTAAAGGGAAATCAATTTTAATTTAATGTCAGCTTTGAGTTTTTGTTTAGACTGTTGTGTTCAAAGGACCCTCACAAATCCTGTGTGTCTCTATTACTCTATAGGAAATTCAGTTCTTCATTTGTGTACATTTTGTAAAATTTCATCAATTTTGCAGGTAACACTTAGCTTATATTGGCAATCCTGGGAACGTGCAACAATATACATGTATGTTTATTTCTAGCAATTTTTCAATCATTCTTCCCATTTTTTTGTTTTCCTTGTACTATAAAGAAAAAAAAATCAACTTCAGCCTCACTGTTCAGCGAAAATGATACGTATTCATGTCTGAATTTTTAATTCTGTGAAATTCTATGATTATTGCAGGCAGATAGCCTGACAAATGAAGAAGGCTAAGACAACATACATGAAGGCATGAAAACCATAGCTCTAACCGAACATTAGTGATGTCACCTTCATACACAACATCTTCCACTGCTTCTCTGAAGGTGAAAGATAGAACTGAAGCAACCCGCATCGCCTCCTTAATCACTCTAGAAGTTAGAGACATCCTTTTGGTATCCGACCAATTCAGGGATCTCTCCTCATTGTTTATATTTATCTTCTTGATGATTTCCCATGTTCTCCCAACAATTCATTACCTTACTGAAAGGTACCCAAAATAGTTTAAGAAAAGAAAATTAAGAGCAGAGTGATATCTTACAGTTACTGCTTAGAGGATGGTGTGGTTTTCACCGAGGAACTTGACAATCCATGTTAGAACGCTTGCAGTGGTGTCACGAGCAGCAAAGAAGACACCAATGATGTTGTCAATGATTTGATCATCACCTAGATTGTTGGTTTGCATAAAATTATATGATACCTCTCTTTTGAAATTACTCAAAAGAGAGAGATTGAGTAATCATTGTGTATGTATACATTGTGTATGTAAAAAATTTTGTCTCTAATATTATATATTGAGTAATCATTGTGTATGTAATTTTTTTTTGGATATTTAACACCGTTTGAGATATTATTGTGTATATATGATTTCAATTTCATTGTGAATATTGAGAAATTATTATATGAGATGTGTATATTAAATGTAAGCAAAAAAGATAAAAAAATAGAAAAAATTAAAAAATAAAAAGGCCAAACGGTTTCAACCGTTTGGACAGATTTTTGCCCAAACGGTTTCAACCGTTTGGGCAAAAATCTGTCCAAACGGTTGAAACCGTTTGGCCTTTTTATTTTTTAATTTTTTCTATTTTTTTATCTTTTTTGCTTACATTTAATATACACATCTCATATAATAATTTGGCGACCGTTGGGGAAAACTCATCCCCAACGGCTTTAGCCCAAACGGGTTTTTTTCCTCGCCCAAACAGTTGTAACCGTTTGGGAGGGTGTTTTCCCAAACGGTTCCAACCGTTTGGGCGGTCCTGTTTTGTACTAGTGGCAATCAGTTAATCAAATCTTAGAGAATCCCTTCACCAACAGCGGATCTACTTGGCTATTAACCGAATCTTCGGTTCTAACTACTCTGTTACAGAGTTTCAACTCGCTCTAAGTTAGTAAACTCGTTAAGAGTCTTTAATTAAACTTGCCGCACAAGTTTATTATCGATTATTCGGTTTTCAACAACTCTTTTCAGAGTTTTTAACTCGTTCTGAGTTTAGTAAACTTGTTAAGAGTTCTAAACCGAACTCATCATACAAGTCAATCGTTCTCATGAGATAGTACGGTAGGATCGTCAACGGAGAGCAAGTTCGACGCAAGCAATCGAAGGAAGCACTCCATCGCTACCAAGAAGAACCCAGTTTTAAACAAAGGGAAGAATCAAATTCATTCTCCTCTCTTTTTTAATCGGAATCCAAATTGTAATCGATTTTGAGAGAATACAAGTCAATTTTTCTTTCATTGTCTTTTTACATCAAATTTTCCACAAATACCATTCCAAGATGCCGTAGAGAATGGCCCGCAAATATCCGTATGTATCAATTCTAAGGTGTCTAAGGATCTTTTGGCACCTAATCTCTTAACTTTGGCATGTTTTCCCTTGATACATTCAACGCACAGTCGAAGTCTGAAAAATCAAGAGAATCTAAAATGTCATCAGACACAAGGCGCTCAACTCTACCTTTTGAGATATGACCCAAGCGCTTATGCCATAATGTCGCCGAATTTTTCTTATTTAATTTACGCTTAGTACCACGTGATTCCACATGCAAGGATTTATTATAAGAAACAATTGTATCAAGCAAATATAGGTTGTTATAAGTAATCAAGTAACTGGTTCCTATAATATTTGAATTAAAAGATAAACCGAATTGACTATTTCCAAATGAAAAATGATAACCTAATTTGTCCAATACAGAAACAGAAACCAAATTCTGTCTAAAAGACGGTACTACAAAAGTATCTTTTAAGCCCAAATATTAACCAATTCCTAATAGCAACCTAAAGTACTTGATTGCTTCCACGTCTACTGATTGTTCGTCGCCCACAAAGATGTGTCTTTCAACATCACTTGGCTTTTAGTAGCTCAGATAACCCTGCATAGAAACACTTATGTGAGTAATAGTGTCAAAGTCTAACCACCAAGTGTTTCTAGATACTGAAGCTAAATTAACCTTAGAACAGCCCAAAGTAAGGAATGTACCCTTCTTAGCACGCCCGGCGTGATATTTGGTACAGTCCTTCTTTACGTGTCCAGATTTGTTACAGAAGAAACAACCTTGATCATCCTTATGTTGTTTCTTCTGAAGAAGACCCTTAGCAGCTTCATTGTCATTCTTTCTTTTCTTGTCATTATCCTTAGAGGCATAAGCCAGATGAGCACTTTCTGTCTTATCTTGCTTCAACCTGTCTTCTTCTTGCACACAGTATGAAATAAGCTCATTTATGGTCCATTTCTCCTTTTGATAGGTATAACTAACTTTAAACTGATTAAATTATACAGGAAGAGACAAGAGAACCAGATGCATAAGTAACTCATCACAAAGATCGAGTTTAAGTGCCTTAAGTTTTGAAGTAATATGAGACATTTTCATAATGTACTCTCTGATATTTCCTTTGCCCTTATAATTCATCGAAATCAGGCGAGCTAAAAGCATGCTTGTTTCTACCTTATCATTTTTCGTAAAACATTTCTTAATTTTGGCAAGAAAATCTTTAGCCTTAGTAATATCTTCGGATTCTATGCCCGTGAAGGCTTCCGGAACGTCGCGCTTAATGATCATAAGACTCATGCGATTTGAACGCTCTCATTTCTCATACTCCTTCTTAACACTAGGAGTGCTATCCGCATTGAGAGGTTGAGGTTGTTCAATTCTTAATGTAAGGTATAGATCCATGCAGCTAAGAACAATTAATATCTTCTCTTTCCAAACCTTAAAATTAGTCTTATTGAGCATGGGAATTGAGTTGATGTTAGTAGAAATTATTACAGCAGATGCATTAGCTGAAATAAATAAAAAATACTCACATTATTAACCGTAATTAGTTATTAATAAAATTCAAATAATGACAAATCTCATCTCAAGATATCTGGCACAACATTAATATCAAGCCTTTAGACAGAAATATTAATTTGTAAGTGATACCTTATTGCAATGATCAAACACTGACAATAACTCATGTTAAATAATGAAACTATCTTTGGATCGATTTATTATTCACATGTAAACCTTATAATTATCACATGTTTATCATCATAGATGTGTATGTAGTCTAAATAAATATTAACCTTCCTTTGGGCCGATTAAAAATTTACACGAAAGTATACACACAAACATCTCACATTACTCATGAACAATCTACACAAGAGAAGTTACTTTGGCAACTTCTTGTTTCAATTAATCATTTGGAATGAGAGATAACTTTAATACCTTAGTTTCATATTATTTGAATTAAATAATTGATTAACTACCAAATTCAATTTAAATTAAAAATTTTTAATTTAATTTTTTATAGCTTAATTAGGGCCACTTAATTAATTAAATTAAGCATACTTAAAATGGGCCCATAATTTAAATAAGGCTCACAAGTTATGTTTTAATTGAAATATTCAATTAAACCAATCTTTAAATACTTGAAGGCCCATAACCAAATGGACATAGATGATAAAATCCACGTCTAGGCCCAAAACACAAGAAGCTTGGACTTGTGCCCTAGCTCAAAATATCCACTGCAGCTTTCTTCTTTCACCCGACGGGAAAGAGAAAGAGCTTGCCCAAAATTGAAGCTTAAGCCAACTCTCCCCTGAACCGAACACAAATCAAAGCTCGTCAGAGGAGAGACCGAAGCTCGACCAAATTGAAGCTCGCCCGCAATGAACACAAGGCTCGCTCGACTATGAAATCAAGACTCATCCTCAAAGCTCGCCTGAGAATGAGCATGAGGTTGGCTTGAGCTTCGAAGGATCGAGGATCTCCTAAGATCCGAACGTCGAGCTCGCCTACAACGAACGTCGACTATACCTAATGTAGGCATCGAAAATTGCCTATAGGTCTCCACGAACGGTTCAGTGTTAAAGAACGACGATGAACGTCACTATCCGATCCACAAGAGTTCGATTGACGTCGATGAACGATTGAAGTGAATCGACGAACTACGTGAGCTGATAGGATTTCGGGATAACAAAGGCACGGGCTAATCGAGAGCCCCACGATGTTGCAAAAAGAACAACGTCCTTCGTGTCTCGTTCATTCTACAGATAATCCAACCACCGGAGCGGATCGAACTCTTCGTCAAGCTTCCAACGCACTTGGAATCACTCAAATCCGAGTTCGGACGAAGAATTTACAGCGGAAGCGGACGAATGCACCTCATTTTGAAGATCTGATTTTTGGAGAAGTTGGCGAAGCCCTGCTGCAGTGAAGAGTGGTCGAGCGCTTCAACAGAGGAGAGGTCTTCATCAGATTCTTCATCACCCGTGTCCGTTCCTTAGTATTACCCTTCGCCGGTAATCCTAAGAAGAGCAGATATCTCGTTTTACCGAGATAGGCGCTTCAGGCTTCTAGATCTCCTCGCGGATCGACGAAGCTCTGTCTGATTTTTCTGGAATAGATCTGAGTGCCAGGTAGCCCACGGATATCGACGTCCCCGTCACAGGCCAAAGACCCACGCAAGCAAGAGACGATAAACGGATCTTGTGTTTATTTTCAAGAAAGTTGTAATTTTTATTTTTTGTTATTTGAATTCATTTGTAACATTTGAAGTTTCTAATAAAATCAATGATGAAGGCACTTTTCGATGAAAACAAGCTGGCGACCACAGTGGGAGCCAACGGCCTCGCTGCCAAGGCCGTCGTGACTCAACCGGCATTCAAGATCCGGGTGAGTGAAGAGATCGAATACGAGTTCGATCAGCAAAAGTTTGAAGAGTACCTCTCTTCCTCCTCCTCCAGATCCGCCTCTCCAAACAGGCGTAGGAAGACTTTATCTTCCAGAAATGCTCGCGGGACCTCCGGCTCCAAGATCCAAGATCCCGTCGCCGTTGCTGCACCCGTGCCCCGTGACATCCCAGCGGCATCCAAGCAGGTTGAAGCTGCAGTCCCTCCCGCCACAAAGGCGACTGCTGAAGTTGCTCCGGCTCTATCGAAGAGGGCGCGCCAAAGACGGCGCCAACGCCTTGCGTGACAACTGGCCAAGGCCGCAGAATCGATGGACGGGATCCGCTACAATGAATATCTAATGTCCAGACAGCGCCAAGAGCAACAACTGCGCATAACCAGCTCCTCCTCCAAGGCAGAAACGAACAAATGGGTTCGTGTCACGAGGACTAGCTCAACCCTCGAAGAGCGAATCAAGAAACGCCGCGCATTGCTCGCGCATGCCCGAGTCCTTCTGCAGAAAGCGGAAGAGATGCAGAAAGAAGAGACGGTCAAGAATCCGTCAAAACACAAGCAGGTGTGGGTGCTAAAGGCAAAGCCAGCGCCTAAGACAAGAGTCCAAATCAGGTCATGTTTCTACTATCCCGGCACCTTCAACGGCGCCAAGTAAGAAAGGGGATCATTCAAGATCCCAGGTTCCTTTGAC